AGCCCCTCCCTCCACCTCTCTCCCCTTCCGTATCCCCCTCCCTATGCCACCCCCTCCCCTCTCTCTCTCTCAATCTTGCTTTCTGCCCCACCCCGATCCATCCTCCACCTAATCCCCATTGAACCAATAGCAACCACTCAGCCCCACCCAACCCTAGACCCACCCCTGCACGCATGAAAAGAGGAAGCAGAGAGCAGAGGGGGTGACAGGGGGAGGGGGAGTTGTATTGGAGTTTTATATATTTTATTTTTAAGGTTTAAATTTAGTTTTCTGTTTTTCATTTTCAAAACATATATTTTTTATTCAAATCCACGTGACATTTTATTATCAGATATGTTGGCTCCGAATATATGCCATATCATCAATTTAACAGAAATTTCAACAGAACCTAACGGTATGACCAAATTGATGTATAAGGTGCAACATAAAGGATCAAAAGTGATAATTTGGCAAACCTCAAGGTCCATTTGTGATAAAAACCCTTTAATAAAAAACAAAATTTCCCCCCTTAGACGCTCCATTTATCACCCACCCGACCTAACCTCTTCGAATCCAATCGTCCAAAAAAATCCTCTCCGAACCTAAAATCTTCCCCTTATGCCAAGAGCAAGAATCAAACTTGGGCTCATCAGTTATAGCACTCTCTCTCGTGTGCTTTGTCCATGGCTTTCTCCAGCGATACTCTCACTCAATTGCTCGTCTGCTGTCGGCGGTCAGGTACTGTTCTCTCCTTTAGAGCTGAGTCGTTAAATCTTTCGTTCCAGATCGAAATTCGTAGGGGGGGTGAGCGAATTAGGCAACTAAACCCTTAATGTGTCCGAGTGAATGCCTTGATAATGTTAATGGGATAAGTTAGGCTTAATAAATTTAGAATTATAACTCGATCAATTAATCTAGAAAGAAAAAAGCAATGAAAAAGTAAACTACTTGAAAAAATTGAAATTTTTTAATTTACTTAAAACCTGTTTATATGCTAAGACTCCATTTAATAAAGGGTTTTTTTATTATCACAAATGGTCCCTGAGATTTGTGAAATTATCACCTTTGGTCCTTTATGATTTTTTGTGACATTATTGGTCCTTTATGTTACACATTACGCATCAATTTAGTCATGCCGTGAGATTTTGTTAAAAATTTATGTTAAATTGTTATGCGGATCTAAATAAATAATTTTTTTAAAAAAAAATAGTTTTAACATTTAAAATCTTGTAAAAAAATTTATATATATAAAAAAAAAAACTAAGCCCCTCCCTCCACCTCTCTCCCCTTCCGTATCCCCCTCCCTATGCCACCCCCTCCCCTCTCTCTCTCTCAATCTTGCTTTCTGCCCCACCCCGATCCATCCTCCACCTAATCCCCATTGAACCAATAGCAACCACTCAGCCCCACCCAACCCTAGACCCACCCCTGCACGCATGAAAAGAGGAAGCAGAGAGCAGAGGGGGTGACAGGGGGAGGGGGAGTTGTATTGGAGTTTTATATATTTTATTTTTAAGGTTTAAATTTAGTTTTCTGTTTTTCATTTTCAAAACATATATTTTTTATTCAAATCCACATGACATTTTATTATCAGATATGTTGGCTCCGAATATATGCCACATCATCAATTTAACAGATATTTCAACAGAACCTAACGGTATGACCAAATTGATGTATAAGGTGCAACATAAAGGATCAAAAGTGATAATTTGGCAAACCTCAAGGTCCATTTGTGATAAAAACCCTTTAATAAAAAACAAAATTTCCCCCCTTAGACGCTCCATTTATCACCCACCCGACCTAACCTCTTCGAATCCAATCGTCCAAAAAAATCCTCTCCGAACCTAAAATCTTCCCCTTATGCCAAGAGCAAGAATCAAACTTGGGCTCATCAGTTATAGCACTCTCTCTCGTGTGCTTTGTCCATGGCTTTCTCCAGCGATACTCTCACTCAATTGCTCGTCTGCTGTCGGCGGTCAGGTACTGTTCTCTCCTTTAGAACTGAGTCGTTAAATCTTTCGTTCCAGATCGAAATTCGTAGGGGGGGTGAGCGAATTAGGCAACTAAACCCTTAATGTGTCCGAGTGAATGCCTTGATAATGTTAATGGGATAAGTTAGGCTTAATAAATTTAGAATTATAACTCGATCAATTAATCTAGAAAGAAAAAAGCAATGAAAAAGTAAACTACTTGAAAAAATTGAAATTTTTTAATTTACTTAAAACCTGTTTATATGCTAGGGGCAATGTTATATTCATTTTCTTAATCAAAACAAGGTTATCCCCTTTCATCAGCTTTTTATTTATTTATTTATTTTTTTAGTACAAGCAAGGAATAGTCTAAATTATAAGGGGAGGGGTTTCTCACACACAATGCCATGGGGGTTCGAACTTGAGACCTCGGTCTGTAAGTCAAGTCCCTTTTCCACTCGGTTAGACCCGTTGGCTTTCGTCAGCTTTTAAGACAATTGAATCTAGCTGTTTCACAAAAGTGTTGGAGGTTTTAATTAGATATTAACGGATGTATCTAATATAATATGTTATCTTCTCCAGGTTGGTCGATTAACTCAGCTTGGAGTTATCAGGGCCCAAATTCTGAATTCTACTTACAGTACAGTGGTGCAAGCTCAAATATCTAACCAAATAACTGCTACAGCTATGGTTTCATTGGAGGTATCTTAGAGCTATTTATCAAAGTGCTTGTGTACATGCATTGGCAATGTGATATAACCATTTCGTCATCCCATGCCTGAAACTTAAGTTTACAAAATTTATTCTAGTCCCTAATGAATAACAAAACTGTGACGTTGTTTGGCAAAATTTCTAGAATTGAACAAAATATACTGGCAGTGTTGTCTCTTGCATCTAACGTTTGTGAAGTTGTAGTAAGGATGACATACCTCCCATGTGGGCAGTCTTTGATGGGTTTCTGTTATTTTCTTTTTGCCTTGGATGTTCATTTACTAGGATCAACACAACCACCAAAACAGTTACTATCCAGAGAAAAATGCTGGAGGCGAGAAAAGGGACCAAATTGGATGGAATGTTTCTAGAAAGGATAAAGTTAACTTTCTTGTAAGAACCGTAAGTATACATATCTCAAGCTTTCTTTTTTATTTATAAATTATTTCTATTGAGCTTTTTAATCTTAGTCGAATTTTATTAATAGAGTGAAAATTTGTGGATGTTAATTTTTGTAGCAAGCTGATAATGGATTAAATAACCCCACTTTTGCAGCTTCTTGATCTCAATGACAGTAAGGAGGCTGTTTATGGTACTCTTGATGGATGGGTTGCTTGGGAGCAAGACTTTCCCATTGGAAAAATTAGGATGGCATTGACTTCTCTTGAGAAGGAACAGCAGTGGCATAGAATTGTTCAGGTACAATCAATTCTTTGTCTTTCACCATGGCTTAAAAACTTGGAGGACACTTAAATAGAAAGTACTCAATCTGGGAATACTTTTCTTTAAAGTAGTATTTTAATTTGAAGCATAATAATGTGATGTAATAATCCTTGAGGAGCTTTTATTTTATGCACTTATGTCTGTTTTGGCTTAGACTTCTCCATCATTATCAAAATTCTTGCAATCCTTTGTAGCAAAGAAACTTCTTTAAATCATGGGAAAGAACCAACTATGAGAAGAGGATTTGCATTTTTTTTGGAGTGCATAAGTATTTGGGGAAACTACTTTTTCCAACAGGAGAGATTTGAAAACATAATTATCTAATAATTTGTAGCGACTAGGAAATTTTGAGTATGTAATTATTTTTAACTTTCGCTTGACCCTGGAAAGAATGAGTGACGCCTATTCATTATTTTCTTTTGTGATCTATAAACCATGGTTTTCTTTAACTCGTCTAGGTAATTAAATGGATGCTAAGCAAGGGACAGGGAAACACAATGGGAACATATGGGCAACTAATACGAGCTTTAGATATGGACCAAAGACCAGAAGAAGCACACAAGTTTTGGGACAAGAAGATTGGCATTGATCTGCATTCAGTTCCGTGGCAGTTATGCAAAAGTATGATAGGTATATACTACCGAAACAACATGTTGGAGAGTCTTGTAAAGGTATGGCTTATAACATTCATACTTAGATATGCAGTTTTCTATGATAGGTTGATGTTTGGCCCATTCAATTTTTAATATTTTTTATTTTTTGCTCGAATTACTTTATATATTCTGCTAGCCTAACCTATTGTAATCGTGCTTCTATTCGGTAGCTCTTTGAGGGCCTAGAAGCTTTTGATCGCAAACCTCCCGTGAAATCAATAGTCCAGAGAGTGGCAGATGCATATGAGATGTTAGGCAGGATTGAAGAAAAAGAGAGGGTGTTGCAGAAGTACAACTATCTTTTCACAGAAAATGCATCACTCAAGAAATCTAGAGAGGCCTCGGCTAAGAAAAAGAAGAAACTTGGTTAGAATAGAACTTCTGATTAATGATTTAAACTAGTCGGTCAACCACTACAACAAATGAATATTTCTGTATATGCGTTTTTGATATCTAGTGGGAAGGCAAACAAAATTGTATAAATTGTTAAGTGAAATATCCTTTTGAGAATTAGGGCGTTTGAGCTTCTGTTGGTATATGTTGTTCCATGATTTTGTTTCTGTTCAACCAATCTGAACTAGTTACCCAGTTTTAGTTCATTTGGTTTGATTTTTATTGTATCCAATGTTGTCTTGATTTGAATATTTTTTGACATCAATCTTTGATCATGTGGCGAGGAGTTGTGAAATCCAATTCAAAATGCATCATAAGATGGAAAATTCGGAACTGAGCCCAAATTGATTTGTGTTATTTGGATTCTTTGAACCCAAACTTAAATTGCACTTGATGGGGGGCTGCTCCAAGTTTCTTTAAATTTATTTTCCAAGTATCAAATAAAGAAACCAACATAAATTTTATTCATCCATCTTTAACTCATCATTCAAAATCTTATTTTGGGACAACATCATTCAAGTTAAAGGGGAACAACACTTTACGTAGCACAACATTTGTGAGTTGAACCCAAACCTTGTAGAGGGGAAACAATCACAAGGTTAGGAACAGGCACACTTCAAAGATTATAAACTTAAATCATTTTTTGGTAATGCCATTTAAGGTGTATTTCTTGAAGTCCTCATGAGCTTGCAGTACTAAATGGTCATCTTCCCACTCATCCCGATAAGTCTCTGGCCGGGCATGCCTATTCTTTGAAACTTCCAAGTACATTTTCTTTCTCCATTCTTCGGAGACTGGACACCCACACAGAGCTGCAAGCCAGTCATTATATTCAAACTGCAAACACAACACTGAATTATTTAATCTGTTCATGACATATATAAAGATACCAGTACATAAACTGGAACAGTGGATGCCTAAAAGGTTAAAAGGCATTGAATGGTGACTGAAAAAAACACACATTAAGCAGCTTTTCAAAAGAGTAACCTCTCAGGTTGCCAAGATTGAGTGTGAAAAATGAGACATGCTATACAATGGAAGCTACTGATTTGGGATGCAAATAATAGTGAACATTTTGATGTTTTAATATATCGTATAAGAGGCAACGATAGCAATTACTCTGAATCCATTACTCTGATTCCAATGCTCTTAACTAATTCTGATTAATGAACAGCTGGTAAGGTCATGCAACGATAGAAATTGAATTTACCTGACAATCACCCAAGTTATGAGTGTATCGTTTAGGAATGCCAGAAGCTTCAAGTAACGAGTAGAAAGCTTTGATATCCTCCATCATTTCTTCTTTGGATGGAAGTGCAATTCGATTAGACAAAAGACCTGCTATCCACTTGCTCTGAAATTCAAACTCTGGGAAAGGAACAACCTGCCACCACAATATTCAAAGATTTACTCCTACCATCAAAAGAATGAACCAAATATGGCATATGATTTAAAGTGGAGAAACACCTTCCATGGTAACCCAACAAAGGAAAGTGAAGGAGCCAATGCTGGCGGGAAGACATGCTTGTACAGTGGCCCCACACGGTTGTCATCTACAGTCACAATGCCATTGGTTTCAAGAAAAGGGAAATGATACTTGTACCTTGAAAAAGGAAAAAGATTACCATTCATATTCCATTTTTCTTGCACTTTCAATTCAATTCAAATTCAATATGGAACATTACATGATAACATCAATTCCTAAAACAAGCCAAAGCAAGTTATACCCTGTGCAGTGAAGAATGATGTCAGCAACGACAACACTCCCATCTTGGAAAGCAACACTTCCATCATCATGGGCACTTTTGATCTGCAGCGGTTTAAATTATATCAAAACTTAGGATCTACCTATCTTCTAGCATCAGGGTCAAAGATAATTCCCTTGATGAACTTTTCATCATATGGCCACCCAATTCTTACCATGGGTGAGTTCTTTTACCATAGAATGAAGCCACATGTTATCATAGCCAGGCTGCTTTCCAAAGGCTTCATCAGCAACAGATCTAGATGCAATGTGGACTTCTTTGGCAACTCCAGCTAGTTCTCGAGAAATATCAGCAGAACTAGCTGCACCCCCTATTAAAATTACAACCTATGCAAAGCAGGAAGTAGATAAGAGAAGCTAACCAGTAAGAATTAAAATAATCTACCCTATTAACCGTGTCCTGCTTCATTAGAAGAACACAATCTAGAAGTTTCTACAGAGTGCAGAAAAGTGGGACAAACCTGATCTCGAAATGGTTCTGGATTGCGGTAATTATGGCTGTGAAATTGCTTTCCTTTCCATGAAATGATACCTGAAAAGTATATAATGGCATAGGGGGGGGGGAGACAAAGTGAGAACCAACTTTGCTTTTGTTATGCATTACATAAGCATGAATTCAGAAAGAAAAAAGTCTGGATAAACTTCATTAGTACTTTAGAATTATTACTTTTAATTTGGGTATAGTTATCAGGGCAGATATTATATTTTCTTTTCCATCATGTATTTACAAGCTTTCCCACCATTTCACTCTAAAAAGTTAATGCTGCAATTTAAATTGGCATTCTCAAAAGCTCCTTTCTTGAAAAGCTTCCCCAATTGCAGTCTACCAAAAGTAATTTACTTCCCATACAATTTATACTCACACAATGCAGAACTCAATTTAAAGACAAAGATTCTTCTACACATCCCAAGCAACCCAAACCCAAACCGATTCAATTTCCCATGAACAAAATCTCAAAACTAATATAGAGTTCAGTACTCTAGATGTTCAAATCCAGAACATGAACACAAACCCAAAAATCCCAAAATCCAATTATCAACATCAACCAAAAAAAATTTAAACTTTCTCCAGAAATGATATTCATACCTGGGATTTCGGCAATACGGGGCTCAGTATAATGCCCATTACAGACAACAACAGCATCATAAATCTCATCATCCACACCATCACCTCCCTTGCTCTTAGACTTAACCTTCCACTTGCCACCCTCTACCGAATCCACAACCATCACCTCCGTCTCGAACCTCACAATCTCAGATATCCCAAACTCGCTCGCAAAGTCCTTCAAATACCTCAACACCTCTGTGTGACCCGGAAACCTTCTCGGGTCTCTCTCTTCGTCTTCTTCTTTGGCCACAAATGGGAAGTCCCTGAAACCCATGGACTCTCTCGGGAGGTTCGTCCGGAGTGACTGGTACATGCTCGAGTGGACCGTGGTCCGATCCGGGTGGAGCCCAAGTAGGTCGGATTCTACCTTCGGAGTGTAGACCCACGTGCCACCCACTTGGTCTCCTCGCTCAAAGACCACGACTTTGTGGCCTTCTCGCCTGAGCTCACGTGCTGCGACCAGGCCTCCGGCGCCGGCGCCGATGACTGCCACTTGGCGGGAGGCCAGTGGGTTGAGAGCGAGCTGCATGGTAGAGTTGTGGACGAGAGTTTGGCAGAAGACGGTACCTTGGCGTTTTGGGTTTGGCGAATTGTGATTGAGTGATGCTGTTTTAAGAAGTTACTAAAATTCTTTGGAAAATTTTCATAATTATTTATTACAAATGTGATTAATGCTAAAGTCAAAAGCCAAGCTGGATCGAATGTAAATTTTCAATCTGATCGCACCTTGAATTTGATCAAACCATCTACTTGGACTTTCTTCAAACTATATAACACTTCGAATCTGATTTATTTTCAACCGATAATATATTATCAAATTTCCTATTACCTCACACTTTGAATCGCATAAAAAAACCTCACATATGAACAAATAAAATACTGCCGTGTTTAAAAGTTGTAAGCTGTGTGCGCGGGAGGGAAAGCTGTGTGCGGGAGGATTATTCGGGGGGCCTGAGAGGCGGTAATTTACATAACATGCCAAACTCACTGTATTAGATTCAACAATCAAACTACACTGAGACTTGAATTGAGCTGAATTATATTGACACCTTTAGTTTTGGATGAAACACCGACTTTACACATCTTATTTATAAAAACACATTAAGATTATTATTTTTTTTTATTTTTCTTACTAAATTACATACATTTGTTATTCCAACCAGACAAACCCTTCTGACGTAAAAAAAATAAATTTCCAACCACTTAAACATCCCCTTACTAAGGGATAGGAACACATCAAGATTTCCTGGGATATTTAAGATGAACTTCAAAAGAAACAAGGTGGTCGCTTGTTTCACCTTGAACTGGGCGGGACATCATTTGATGTCACGTGTCCATTTTCAACTCCATTTAAGGTGTATTTTCTGAAGTCCTCATGAGCTTGCAATACTAAATGGTGATCTTCCCACTCGTCCCGGTATGTCTCCGGTCGCTCAAACAAGTTCTCTATAGCTACAAAGTACATTTGCTTTCTCCATTCTTCAAAGGCTGGACAGCCACACTCAGCTGCAAGCCAATCGTCGTATCCAAACTGAAGAATAACAACACTTCAATATTTATCTCGTGCATCATAAACAGACACAAGTATGAAGATCAGTAAAATTTATGGTGAGAGGAAACAGATAATGATAATAACCATAAAGGGAACCATCAGCAGCATATATCATATTATTCTTCCCATTAGTATTTTCATTTATATCCAAAATGAATATACATGCAGATTTAATTAGTGCAACTGAAGGCTCCCAACAGACTAGAGAGAGATGAAACGGCATTCTGTCCACGGCCAAGAATCACATTGATTGGTTTTTAAAGACCTAATATAAGATGTTTAGACATGATATATCTGCTTAAATTATCTTATTTGCATAAGTTCATCATGTGGGGATCCAGTCAAGGATATCTGAAACAAGACTTTGTTTAGCAATTACATTGTACCAGTGCTCTCAACCAGATGACGAATGAATTTGTGCTATGGTCATATGAGTTGAGACTAACTAACAACATAGGCAGTCAACCAAAGAGAGTGAATTTACCTGATTATCAGCAATGTTATGAGTGTATCTCTTGGGGGTGCCAGAAGCTTTGAGTAAAGAGTAGAAAGCTTTGACGTCCTCCATCATCTCCTCTTGCGACGGAAGTGTGATTCGGTTGGACAAAATACCTGCTATCCATTTGCTTTGAAATTCAAACATGGGCAAAGGGGCAACCTGGCACAGAGATATTCAAAGATTTACTTCAAACATAAAAAAACAATGAACCTAAAGATGCAACAAAAATATGGCATATAACATAAAGAAGAGAAATACCTTCCATGGTAACCCAACAAAGGAAAGTGACGGAGCCAAATCAGGTGGGAAGACATGCTTGTACAGAGGCCCAACACGGTTGTCATCCACAGTCACGATGCCATTGGTCTCAAGGAAAGGGAAATGAAATTTGTACCTTGAAATAGGAAAAAAAAAAAAGGATTCCAATTTGCTCTTTCATTTTTGTGGCACTTTCCATTACTTGACAGTCAATATGGAACACTATAACATAGCATGAAGTCCAAAACAAGCCAAAGCAAGTATACCCTGTGCAGTGAAGAATGACATCCGCAAGGACAACACTCCCATTTCGGAATACAACACTACCATCTTCCTGGACACTTTTGATCTGCATGGTTTAAACTTTAAAAATTATCAGTACTTTGGATCAACCATCCTTCGAGCATCAGGCTCAAACAAAGTTGAACATTCTCTGGATGAACTTCCCATCAAAGCCACCCAATTCTTAACCATGGCTGAAGTCTTTTACCATAGAATGAAGCCACATGTTATTATAGCCCGGCTGCTTTTCAATGGTTTCATCAGCAACAGATCTAGATGCAATGTGGACTTCTTTTGCAACTCCAGCTATGTCTCGTGAAATATCAATAGCACTAGTGGCGCTCCCTATCAAAATTACTACCTATGCAAAGCAAGAAATGGATAAAATAAGCTACATACTATATAGAGTAAAAAGAAAACAAAAACACAAGTAGGTTATAAATTCCTACAGGATGCAGAAAGTGGCAACACAGACCTGATCTCGAAATGGCTCAGGGGTACGATAATTGTGGCTGTGGATTTGCTTCCCTTTCCATGTATTGATGCCTGAAAAACAGTGTACATTGCATAAAGCGGAAGAAGAAAAGTAAAAACCAAAACACAAGCCTGAACTCAGCATTAAGAAAAATATCTCATTCCATAAATTTTAGCTGAGAAGTTCAACTCCGTAACCTCAAAAGTTCCTTTTATGAAGATCTTCTCAAATTGCACTCTACCAAAAGTAATTTTCTTCCTTCAACCAATACAATTGTACACTCACACAAGGCAGAATCAATCAGGTACCTAAACCAATATTAAAGGTCCAAACTTTGTGCCTTAAATAAATAAAAAAGATCCAAAGGATCACAACCCAATTCGATTCAAATTCCTCATGAACAAATCTCAAAGAACCCAATACAAAGTTCAGAGCTTTAGCATTGATACCTGGAGTTTGGGCAACACGGGGCTCAGTATGATGCCCATTACACACAACCACAGCATCAAAAATCTCATCCTCCACAACCTCACCTCTCTTACTCTTGGACTTCACCTTCCACTTGCCACCCTCCACCAAACCCACAAACACCACCTCAGTCTCGAACCTCACAATCTCAGAGACCCCAAACTCAATCGCAAAGTCCTTCAAATACATCAACACCTCTCTGTGACTCGGATACCTTCTCGGGTCTCTCTCTTCATCTTCTTCTATGGCCACAAATGGGTAGTCCCGAAACCCCATGGCCTCTCTTGGGAGGTTGGTCCTGAGCGACTGGTACATGCTCGAGTGGACCTTGGTCCGATTCGGGTCGAGCCCAATTGGGTCAGACTCCACATTCGGAGTGTAGACCCACGTGCCGCCTACTTGGTCTCCTCGCTCGAAGACTACGACTTTGTGACCCTCTCTCCGGAGCTCACGTGCGGCGACCAGGCCGCCGCCGCCGGCACCGATCACTGCCACGTTACGAGAGGCCGGTTGGTGATGTGTGGGTTGCATTGGATTTGGCGTTACGGGTCTGAAGTGTAGACAATGTGGAGGATTTAAATAATAAAAATGGAAAATTCATTTTTACCACTAAACAAAATAGTGTGAGAGTGGAAACTAAGACTGAGAGTGGAAACCAAGACTGAGTCTACTGGTTTGGTGACATTGCTGTCTCATTTGTTAGCTTATGAAGGATGTGCGTCGCGTCATTTCCGGTGGGCGGTGGCGGCGACTAAACTAGTAAACAGACTATTTCAAAGGGTGATAGTGTTTTATTGATAGAGGGGAAATAACAAGGAAAAAAAAAGGGACTATTTCACACTTGGACTTTCTTCGAACTATATAACACTTTGCATCTCATTTATTTTCAACCGATAATATATTATCAAATTTCAACCGATAATTTATTTTTAATTTATTTTTTAAAAAAGCCTCTCACATGCACAGAAACGCGTACGAAAAGAAGCTAGTTTACATAACATGCCAAACTCACTGTGTTAGATTCAACAATCAAACTACACTGAGACTTGAATTGAGCTGAATTATATTGACAAGTTAACTACACTTTTAGTTTTGGATGAAACACCGACTTTACACATCTTATTTATAAAAACACAATAAGATTATTATTTTTTATTTGCTTACTAAATTACATACATTTGTTATTCGAACCAGACCCCAAACCCTTCTGACCAAAAAAATAAATTTCCCAACCACTTAAACATCCCCTTACTAAGGGACAGGAACACATCAAGATTTCCTGGGATATTTAAGATGAACTTCAAAGGAAACAAGGTGGTCGCTTGTTTCACCTTGAACTCCATTTAAGGTGTATTTTCTGAAGTCCTCATGAGCTTGCAATACTAAATGGTGATATTCCCACTCGTCCCGGTATGTCTCCGGTCGCGCAAACAAGTTCTCTATAGCTGCAAAGTACATTTGCTTTCTCCATTCTTCAAGGGCTGGACAGCCACACTCAGTTGCAAGCCAATCCTCATATCCAGACTGCAGAATAACAACACTTCAATATTTATCTCGTTCATCATAAACACAAGTATGAAGATCAGTAAAATTTATGGTGAGAGGAAAGAGATGATGATAATAACCATAAAGAGAACCGTCAGCAACCAATATCATATTATTCTTCCCATTAGTATTTTCATTTATATCCAAAATGAATATACATGCAGATTTAATTAATGCAACTGAAGGCTCCCAACAGACTAGAGAGAGATGAAACGGCATTCTGTCCACGGCCAAGAATCACATTGATTGGTTTTTAAAGACCTAAAATATGATGTTTAGACATGATATATGTGCTCTCAACTCCTTATTTCTCAACTTTCCAATGTAGGACTTTTTCCCTTCACATTCTCACACGCCCCTGCACGTGTGGCGAATTTTCAAGACTAACACGTGGACAACACATTTTGGGTGACGTGTAGCACGTGTGGCTTTCACACGTAGGCTAACGTGGCTCTGATACCATGAAGGAAGTTGAGGTTTCACCCCAAAAACCAATTGGTAATGAGGAGA